GCTGCTATTCTTCTAGGCAGAGAGCCAGTGAGACTCTAACCGAGCCGTGACAGGAGTTTGTGCTTACTCTGGCTGTTTTGAGTCTACAAGTTTAATAATCTGAGCTATCTGAGGAACACAATTGCTTTACTTGTGTGATTTGTTTAGTATTTCTTGGGGAAAAAAAGGCTTTTTAAATACAGTGAATTGATAAACAACAACGACACTCAGCTTTGAAGAAAAAAAAATAGAATTCAGTGTAAAACATTTCTGCTGGGATTTTTGAAGATGCAAAATATTTCCAAGATTGAAAACATTCCCAAAAACAGCTCACTCTGTCACACACCGGATGTCCATCTGTTGTACTGATGGCCGTCTCTTAATCTCTATGCTCACCAAACCGTAAAAATCTGTTCATTCCAATATTTCTACATCCTCAGAATCATTTCAAATGAGGTGTAGTTTCTCTCTTCTCAAACATCATGGCTGCATATCTTATAGTGCTGTGTGAAAGATTTTAGGAGAATTATAATAAGATATAGTTCAACTTCTCTCCGAGCTGTGGCAATCAATAACCCTTATTTGCAAGGCAGCCATAATGAATTTCCAAATCAGGGTTTCTAAGCATAATTTTAGTTTCACACACAACTTTACTAGCTGTAAATTGCCTCTAGATGAAAGTAGCAAATTTCCCCTAGCGATAAAAACAAAACAAATGCACCCTGTTGCAAGTAATGTCATGATTAATTTCAGTTAAACTTTGATTTATGTAATTCTGTGCTTTTTAGGCAATCGGTTTAATTTCAATTTTGTGTCATTCTAGTTGTTTTCTGGTGGTATTTGAGTTTTTAAGTATTTCTTGTTTACTCTCCGTTTTGCCCCCTAGCTCCCTTCTAGATCCTTCTGTCCACAGCTGCTCCCAGTTAGTTGATTACTCCATATTTTGTTCCACCCTAACCCCTAATCCCTCAATCAATATATAGGGCGGGGATTATATAGTGGAAATTAAAGTGAACTCATTTAACTTACCATTCGGTCTTATGATTACTACTTTTCACTCCCCGTTGGTCACGTGACTCCACCTCCCCCACGCAGCCTGCACCATCTTTGTTATTGCCCATAGTGCTTTGCAAGGAGAGCTCTCAAAGGAGAAGCGGATATATTTTCTTGTCTAGTGACCATGGATGATCACTACTTTTCACAGTGCATTGTGAGAAATTTCGAGTCCACTTCTTTTTCATCCACCGGACGTTTGTTCACTCATCTAAAAAGGCGTAATCACTGTATAGCGCCCTATATAGTGATTAGGGTGGACATTCGGACACAGCCTCCTCCTCTGCAGCTGCTGGATCCTCTTCATTCGCTCCCTAACCTATGTGTTCCCCTTTGATCTGCTTCCAGTGTTCTTTAATTAGTTATTTGTGTATGTTTCTGTTGCCACTAAACCTTATTAAATCTGCAAGAAACCACCTCAGCGTCCGTCTCTGCATTTGGGTCCTATACAAACCTCCAAACAACCTGACAAGTAATGCTATAGATAAGTGAGGATCTGTGTTTATGAAGCAAATAGATTTAAAATCAGTTAGATCATCTTTTTAAAGATTTTTAAATAAGATTTTTCTCACACAGGACTAGTCTTTAGATTCTAGATAACTAAAAGACAACCCACTTTGTTCAGGGTATCTTCTTTTTTTAATGTAGGTTAGTATAAATTAAAGTTTCTATAAATGTTTGGATCTGGATTTTCACAATCAGGGTTCGATTGTAACCAGCACCCTTGCAGCTCCTCTCCCTAAGGATCAAAGACCCTACGTGTTACATTAATTGAAGGGCTATGATATGAGAGTGTGTTAAAACTGCAGTGTAAAGATAGATAAATAATTTCTCATCCTGCTTGTGTCTTGTTTACTCTACAAAGCAGGTTGATTGGGTCAGGCTGAGAGTACTTCATTATCTCCATATTCAACAGAGCCCTTCGCTTTTCCTGACAAACACCTCATACAGGTCAGGCGTGTCACATCGGTAGTCTCTCTACAAACTTCTTTTTCTTTCAATAATCCTACCTCTGGATTTGATTGAGTTAGTTTAATTGTAAAACTTTTTTATTTTTTAGTTTTAATGCTGATCATATTTTGCCCCAGATTCAAAATAATCTGGTGCTATAAAGTTATTGCTCTCCAAAACCAACTGAGTCCCCAACAGAAAATACAACACAAACCAACTTTGTGAAGTTGAAAACCAACTTTAAAAACTATTGAATATATATTTTTAAGGTAATGTTGAGTTTTAATCAAGTAAAGCAAAAGTGCTAATTATTGTTTTTAAAATGTTATTTAAATCAATTTAATTAGATTGTAAAGAGTAAACTATTGCTTTACTACAGTAATGTTTTACAACTAGACTAGTTGTTTTTAGGTTTCAAATTTTAACATGGTTCTATCTGTATGGCAGCTGCATAAGATCTACACATTCCTATCATGATGTGATAAAGGAGGACCTAAATGCAGAAAGGGGTTGCAGATGAAATAAATGTACTTTAATAAAAAAAAAATAAGAAAATGTTAGTGGAACTTATGAACTGGAATTGGTAAAAGCAATGGAGATGCGAGGAGCAAACCACGGAGCATGAGGCAGAACAACGGGAGATTCAGGCTAAGAATCAATTACAAACAAACAGTATGAATACTGGGAGAGAGTAAATAGAAAGGCAGGACAAGTGAGTGAGAATGAGTAACAGCTGCAGAGAATTAAAACAGGGAGCAAAAGGAAAGAAACAAAAAGTAAAAGTAATCCAAGCACAAAGAAACAAAGAAAACAATCTAATATAATGATACAAATGAAATCAAGCATGAGAATAAACAAAATAAGCACAAGATAGATAAACTTAAAACGCAACACTATGGGCATATGAACATCAAAGAACGAAACAGACATCTACAGTAATCCCAAAATTCAAACACCTGAGGATAGTGTCCTGCTTATATGCCTGAGAGCTAAAAAAACCCCAAAATAAAACAAATGGAGCTGGTGGTATACCAACCAACCAACCAACCTCCTTCCTTTTATAACTGAGGATGTGGCCGTATGGAGATTGAGCCACCAATTTCACACCCGTTTTAACCAGGAGGATGTAAAAGCTATTGTCTTTTAGCCTCCTCTGATGAACCCCACATAAAGCCCAACTGTCTAAGTCGGCTTTTCCTGACATATTGAAGTGTAAAACAAAAGCCATGGTCAACTGGGAGCTCCCAAAACATCAGTAGGATCTTACTGTTCAAAAGAATCAATCAGAAAAGCAGTGTGAATAAATTTCAAGGTATTAGATTTACAGTATTACGGAACATGGGTGGATAATCCACATAACTAGAGAAAATGCAGCACAGGAAAAAAAGTGGAGTTTCCATCCAGAAACAATATAAAAGTGATGAAAATTGGTCATGCTGTCAACAGACCAACATCAACATTAAACCAGCCACAGAAACTTCTGGAGAAATTCTCACAGAATATATCCAATGTCTATTTTCTGGATAACTGTCATATGAAAACGTAGATTAAAATATTTCAAGTCTATCAAATGAAAGTGGGATGATTTAAATCTGATGAAAATAAGAACTTTTTGGGAATAACTAAAAAAAAAAACTACAGCACATCACCATAAGAACTCTATAGCCGTGTTATAGCACGGTGGTGGCAGCATCATGAGGCCTTAGTCACGGAAGAGGAGCTTTATGAACAGTTTAAAATAACAGAAATGGCAAAAAATCTTCATGCTTCAGCAACAAAACTTCAGGTGATTATGAGCTTTATTTTTCCAAGACCAGAATCACTCAAACATAAACATCTAAATCAACAAAACACTGATCTTCTGTCTCGAGTTTCCTGGATTCAGACTCACTGCTGATTTTCTAAAGTGGCTTATATCTCAATTGGCAGACCAGGAATACCTCTTTTGGTCATCTTGAATATGAGCCAGAATCACGTGAAGTTCCCCAAACAGATTATGGAGAACTAAAACATCTCTTAAATATATACCTATGCTAATGTATACCTGTTTGTAACAATCTGACTAGTCCAATTTAGCTTAAAAGAAACTGCCAGCTGCTTCAAAGCCTGACTTAAAACGTCACTGGCTATCACTCCATTCCAGTAAAAGGTAGGTTTATTGGTTACATTTACATCTTTTCAAAAGTATCACTTTATATTTTTCAAATAAGCTTACATTTAACCACATATTGTCTTTCATGGCTTCTTGGTTACTAAATTTTCTTGTAAAGAACCTTGGATTATCTTATGTTGGTAATGCTTTCCAAATACATTTAACTTACCTTTGAATCTGAAAGATTTATATTGTTTTTAGAAAGAGGAGTTGAAAAATATTCTGCTTCCTGTATAGATGAGGCTGATGATGCCCCAGCAGGATAGACTGAGTGAGATAATAAAATCAAACGTGATGCATTGCATTTAGGTTGTTTTTTCCTACACTTTCCTACCTAAGATATACTGATCAATAAAGGTGGACAAAGACTAATTTATCTTGGTCTAATTTCTTTTTTCATCCCATTAAACCTGCACAGGAAGAAGCCTATTAACAGCCAACCTTGATTGAGCTGCTTCCGTTATTGTAAATTGAGCTCCAGACAATATTTCTCATTTAGTTTCCTTTTCTACCTTATTCAATTTTTGATTGATCAAAAAAAAAAAACGATGCTTTTCTATCGGCCCATGATAAGACATTAATTAGGTCTGTTTATTGCCAAATAACACAATAGTACAGCAATCAGTCTGTCAAATTGAGTTGAGTCTCTTTTTATTTCAGGGTTTGTAAAATATCATTTAATGCTGTTTTCATGATTGATTTAGATATGTAATAAATTAAAAGAGGTTTAGAGAATCAGGTTGATATGTCCTCCTTATGAGATTTATTACCATTGTGTTAACTTTGTGTTAACTTTCTGCACTGAAAAATCTCTGAATATTACTACATTTCAAACATTTTAAAATGAGAAATGAAAAAAGTGCATTAAATAAATAAAACATTCAGCCATTGTTTTTTTTGCATTTAATCTGACTTTGTATTTGAACTCTAGAAGCAGGTGAAAATTATGACCTCCTGTTTTTGCAGAATTAACTGCCAGTACCGTGTCCAACATTATAATCCATGCGTTTTTTATTAACCCTAAATTAAGTTTCAATACATAAATACATACATTGTGTACAGAAATAGTCATTATTCAGACAAACACATTGTCTCAGTGAAGTCCATCAATGCTGCACAGGTGTAGATGACATGTACAGCTGAGATCTACCGCAGTTCATGTGGAGCTGGAGAAGGAGAGGAGGGGAAGGATGGAGGGGCATAGCCGGCCAGTTTAGGCTCCGTTAACACGAGGTGAAGGTTTTCCAGAAGAAGTTTTTACAGGGGGCTTTGCGGTCACGTTGCGGCAGTGATAACCTGTTGTAGACGGCCCTCTCCTCCAGACGGGACTCCAACGGCTCCTCGAAGTCCTCAGGAGCTGATTCACCTGGCAGCATGTTGGTGTCTAGAGCTCCATCTAACAAACTAGACACCAGCTTCAGGATCAGCTCTTTACGCTCTTTACTCAACTCCTGGAGTGCACAATAAAGGCAATACAAAGTAATCAGATACAATAATATTTACATTGTTCCTATTTTTATGTTTAACTGTTAAGAACCAACATTTTATTCCATTTTATTTCCATAAAACAGCTCTTTAATCTTTTTATAGCATTTCTTTAATTAGAAACAGCATAAACAGAGAGATTAAGTATGACAAAAAGATATTTTCCATGTGTTTAGGACAGAAATCCTCACCTTGTTTGCATGGATGGGGCTCCTGTCCTCCAGAGGAAGCACGGCAGCTGCTCTTACGCTGAACAGAACCCCCATAAGCGCTGCTAACACCACCAGGAGCTGCATGTTGAGGCAGAAGTGGAGGACAAGTGCAACAGGAGCAGGAGAAGTGTGTTATGGTGTGTGTGTGTGAGAGAGAGGTTGAGCAGCTCTGGTGGCTTGAAGTTCTTGGAGCAGAGCGGTGGTGAAGAAAGTGCGCTGCAGTTGGTGGCAGCTGCTCATCAGCTCTGAAAACCTCAGATGTTTCTTCTGCTCTACCTCCAAAGTCCCCCACTCTTTTATACATCTCCCCCCCTCCACCCCTGTCTGCAACTGACGTAGAGGCTGGTGCGTGTATGACGGAGGGTGTGTGTGGATGCTGTTGGGGGTGTCAGTATATGAGCATGAAAAAGAGGAGGGGAGATGAAGAGGTCAGGATGCAACAAATGGAAACGTTTGGAAGTTCACCTTTTGGCGAAAGTGTGGCGTTTGCTGTAATGTGAGCATCTGCAGAGAGCAGTCGACGTCACTAGGTGGAAACCAGCTTTTACTAGTTACTGATCATCTGAGATGTTAAAAAGGAGAGTATGGGGATGTAAAAAAAAAAGGGGGTTGTTTGGTTTTTTCATCTAGCTTTTGGGTTTTAGATGAAACAAACGTTAACATCGCACAAGGATAGTCTATGCAAATACAAAAAGCCGTTTTCAAATGATGCTTTCAAACGGGCCATATTAATTACAGCAAGCCATCCAGGTCCTGAAGCAGCAAAGCTTAAGGGAAATGTTAGCCAGGCCTTCTCGTTTTTTGCTTAGCAGAGGTTTTCACTGTGGATGAAATTTTTATCTAGTTCCTTGTTTTTGTAAAATTCATCAGCCACTAGTCTTTGAATGTTTGTTAGACTTTTTTTTTCTTGTAAAACAAGGAGATAGCAGCTAGTGATAATTTCCTAACCTGCCATATGAAAATGCCATATTAAAATGAACTTGTTGGAAATTTGCAGAGTGGTGTCTACCAACTAATACCTTATATTTTATTGACTTTAGTCATTTAAAACAGCTCAAACTAAGACACATATCAATGGGATACAATGCTATAGTAAAATTGTTTAGATGCCGAGCAGATATAAGAGCAGATATAGACTTTTTTATTTCCCTATGATTTCCCTTAAAATCAGTGTTAATGCTCTAGTGCTTATTTACCGTGTTTTCAAATGATCATTTTAAATTTGCTCACCATTTTCTCTGAAACAGTTTCCCTCCTTAAGTTGATTACAATAAATAAATGACTATGACCTGTATTAGCCTTCCCTGGAGATTGACATTTACTTAATGCAATGTTTGATTTCAGTCATTCTCCCTCCATGTGTCGGTTTGACACCTTTAAATGACAATTGACCGTCTGACACTCCAAAAGCCTGGGACCTAAACGCAGTGCACCTCAAATAAAGTGAGTCTTGATGCTTTACAGAACCAGTTCTTAATTGGTAACAGATTGTGAAAATATTCTGTATGTAGTTGGTTTATATAAAGAATAAATGTTAATTTGGATCAATAATATTTAAATACACAAATGAACAATATAATTTATTAACCAAAAATCAATAAAGATTTATGTTTTTTAAGCTTGTTTTTACTAAAGGTTGTGAAGAACATTAGCTGTACATGATTGGAAAGAAATTAAAAATAAAGTCCCTCCATCTGCATTCAATTTTCCTTCAATCTTTGAAAATGTTCTGTTTGTTAATTAAAACATGCAAACACAGTTTTCATAAATCTTAAAATATTGTTTTGATGAAGTTTAACCTATTTTCATATGCTTTCATATACCTACCATGACTTAGTGTGTGTGGTTTTCTCTCAGTTCTTTTCCAAAGCAGCAGTGTAGAATATCTTTAAAGATGTTGAGATCAAATTGTATCAAATTCTTATATTTACTAAAAAAATCATATCTTTTAAGACACATTTTCCAGGTTTTAGCCGAATAGCTATACAGAAGTTACAAAGTTGTTTTAGTAAAGTTTGTGGTTGTGCTTGAAAGAAACAAAAAAAAGCTTGTTTGGGTGGTTTGTTAGATTTTATGTCGACTACTGCTGTTTTTAATCATCATTATGTGAATGAGTAAAAGGCTAAATAAAGAAACCCTACCGGAGAAAACCCAAGAAGTACACCATAATGCCAAGAGTCATCGCTCACCTGCCTCGACTCACATATGAGCTTCCGTGACACTCCATTCCTAATCCATAGGGGTTCAAGATGACGTCATTTAACCCTTTGTTGCTAGAAAAGATCAAACTTTCCTGGGAAGGCTGTCAGGGCTTTAGGAGTTTATGGGAATGTGTGACCATTCTTCCAGAAGTGCATTTGTGAGGTTGCACACTGATGTTGGACAAGTCCTGTCTAGACTGGACTAGTCCTCAGTCTCAACTCTTATTCATCTCAAATTAGTTCTGTTAGGTTTAGGTCAGGACTCTGTGCAGTCAATTTCTACCACACCAGACTCTGCCATCCATATCTTATAGATCTTTCTGCACTGGGAAAAGGAAGGGGCCAGTTCCAAACTGTTTCTACAAAGTTGGGAGCATGGAATTGTTCAAAATGTCTTGGTATGCTGAAGCATTCAGTGTTCCTATCACTGGAACTAAGGGCGAAGCCAAGCTCTTAAAAAAACAGCAACCCCATATCCTAATCCCCCTAAACCAAACTTTACAATTGCCACATTCCAGTCAAACAAGCACCGTTCTAAACCCAGATTTATTCATTAGATTTCCATTTTGTCCATTAGCAGATTAGAGGATAACAGGTGGAAAGAGCAGCAAGCTTTGACACAGACCCCAAAACACACCTGGGCTCAATCCGAACCCCTCAAAAGGGCTCTATGCACAGCTTCGCTACATCCTGAACTTAAGCCAGCTCATTTGTTTCCTGCAACTGCTTTAGTCACTTCCTCACTACTGTATGAAGTGATTACCGTAATCTAGTTTTGTATGCCCATTTTTATCACGGTCATTGAGGTCAGACACACCTGGATCAATCTGTTCATCCAGTAGAGGAAGACAGTAGACAATTAGCCTTTTTTGCCACTGAAAATTCTGGGTTAACCCTGTTTTTTTCAAACTTGGGTCGACTCGCTTGCGGTCCATATTTGCCCCCGCCCCATTGTCAAAAAAAGCTAGGTCTCTCCCTCTGCAGGCAAGCTGCATGGCCTCTGCCCCCCCTCCGCTGCTTGTCTGTTGGCACCATCATGTTGGGTTATCACTGATTATGTCACCAGTGTGACAGAAATCAGGAAAGTAAACAATGGAGAGCACAATGTAGGGAAGCCAGGGCATACAGTAGTAACTGTGCTTTATTGTCTCACTCTTTTACCTTTCAGAATCCCTTTCACCAGTGCTGTGCTATGTTTATCAAACGTAAACAGAGTTGTTTCGGCTTGTTAGATTAGATGCGACTGGCGGTTTGTGTTGACATCCATAAGTTGCGCTCAATGGTAACATGTTAATAAGATTGTCAACCCAGGGCTGATGTTCCCACAGCATGACGATCAGAGCCGAGGTGATTTTACCACGGGTAGCTTGCCGAGTCTTTTGACCCGGGTAGACATGGGCCAGTGAGCAGTTCCCACTGCCATTAAAAGGCGATTATTCCTGGGTTTAAACAGGGTTTTCAGCCAGTGGATAGGGGGGAAAGTAGTGGTCTTATGTTCAGGAAGTAGTGGAGTTGTTCACAGATCCAAATCTAACTCCTATAACCTTTTGCAGGATCAACAGTAAGAACACTATTAAGGGTAGGAAAGGAGTGCTGTGCTGAATCTGGAAAGCCTTACGGATGTCATTACATGGCAGACGTGAACATGAATGACACTGATCAAATTGGGACTACAGCCTTCTGGAAAATAACTTCAAGAAAGGAGTTAAACAAATAGGGCAACTGGTGAAGCTCTACATTATAAAACTCAAAACATATGAAGATGAAAACATCTGTTACAATTTGCTAAACTTTGGGAGGTCTGCTGTGCCACTAAGTCCTGTCATGCAAAGGATTGTGGGCAATCCTATTGCTCCTAATGACAGCTTGGGAGGCCAGAAGGTCTCTATGCTAACTGCATTGGTACTAGGAGGCATATTGCTTCCTGATCCTAGTTCCTCCCTAACTGCCAGCCCTATTTGGATTATTATAGGGACTTTAGAGGCACGACAAAGTGACCCTGTGGGTTTGAAATATTCGTATCGAGCCTTGATCTGATTTAGCATCCCGATAAAAAAAAAGACAAAAAAGAAATCAGGTCATATGATGTCAGCAGCACTGTTATGTAGTAAGATATTGAATGAGTAGAAATGCAAAAAATTAAGCTGATAAAAAGTAATATACATATAGATTGTGGCTTATTTAATTGACAATTAACAAGGCTAGAATGGACTGAATAGGGAATGTAAAGAATACAATTATAAAACAAAGAAAAATCGTAAGCCAGAGCCCCCAAAAGATCCTGACAGGTAAAGCCTTTAGAGGAAACAAGTAATAGCACAAAAAATTAAGTAAATACTTTGGTGATGGTTTGGGTCTGTCACTGGACAACACTCCCTCCAAACATTTACAAAGGGGTTGAGGTCTGGAGACTGGGCAGGCCACGAGGCTGGCACTGCAGGGTTTGGGTCCCTCTCAGTATAATGTCACTGATGGTAACCTTTGTTACTTTGGTCCCAGCTCCCTTCAGGTCATTAATCACGTTCCTCTGTGTATTACCAGGATTTTTGTTCACGGTTCTCATGATCATAGTTGAGTTAGGATCGTGGCTGTTTAAGGAGTTTAAGCAGGGTCCAATTATACAGGTAATATGGGGAGGACAGAGGAGCTTCTACTCTGAAGTAGCTCCTCTGCTGTTGCAGGTATTGCTTTCTCTCAGTACCAGCAAAGCAAGAAAAAATGTCAGATGTTACCTTCAGTTTTCTGTGCAAGGACTTGCACTGACATGTAGAATTGCTCTTATTGCAGAATCTCATCTTAATATCTCCCTGCTTTGAGAACTCTTTCAATGAATCAAATATTTATTTTCCAATAAAGTAGACGCTTCCCAACATCATTAACCTTCCTCTACATAAAGCTGTCAAGTAATTGCATAGAGAATATGGCAATGTTTTCAGTGGTGCAGCACAAAAACTCAACTCTGTTGCTCAATGCACATATACATTTGCAGGACAAATGTGGAACCATTTCAGGGGAATAAACAGCGTTTACTACATTTCTCCAAGATTTATTG